AAAAATATAAATATGATTTTGTCCAAGTGGTCGTGGCTCTCCGGGTAGGATTTGCCCCTTTATAACAGGGAGAAGGTTTAAGCCTCCTGCTACCTCTTGCACTGCCAGTTGGCAGGGACTTTCTTCTATTTAAAAAAAAAATATTACTAATAACATGTACTTTTGTGTATAATCTTCTCTTTGTATGAGGATCTTAACAGAAAGAAATATCATTTTAAACTTTCGTTGGTAGTTCTCGGTAATCAGTCAGTAAATATAACTTTGTAAATTTTTACTGTTGTTCATTGTCCCTGTGTATGTTGTTAAATGATCTAAATACAGCTAAAATTAATTGTCTTGGAGATTGGTAATGGTAATAAAACATTTTGTTTTTAACAATAAGTTGTGGATGCAGTATGCTGTTTACTAATATTCTCTTTGTTTACATAAGCAAAAGAATTAAACTTAAGTAATTACTAATCACCTCAATTCACCTTAATTTACCAGATAACACTCCCTCACTTAAATCTAGCTTAATACGCCCCCACCTTATTTAACCTTTGCACTCATCAGTCCCCCATCCCCCCACCTCCCATGTCAATACTACTTATACCTCAGTGACTTTTTTCTACACCAAACCAAACAAAATTAAACCAACTCAAGTTTCTTGAGTCTTGTATTTTGGATGTTTGTCAAATCAATGAATTTATAACAGAAGATAACTTGATCAATGTTGAACAAGCAACAATTAAAATTGAAGTCGGTGTATTAGATTAGAAGACAATTACTCCATAAACTACCTATTAACACATTGGAAATGATGTAATGATACATACAGAATCATGTATGTATCCTCAAATACAAAATCTGAGTCAACTCTTATTAAGTTAAATACAAATTATGTTTATAGTATTGAAAGAAAGCTTAAATTTTGTACAATGACAATATCAGATTGAATTAATGGCAAACACCAATATTATGTTTCCCCATATGAGCTATTGTAATATACACATTTGAAATGAGATACTGTGAGGTTCTTATTTCAAGCATGTATATAATGTGACACCATGTTGTGTATATACATCAATTCTTCAATTAACACTAAAAATAGTAATAGTGAATAATCAACTTAAATATTGAACTTTTAAATATTAAAAATCTGCTATTATTGCACTCAGCTTTTGCATGTATGATTTGGAAAGAATGGGATATCAAAATACACTAAAGAAATAATATTATTATATTGCTGATGCAGCAAAGTAAACATGACAGGAGAAAAGATTGGAGGAAAGTAAGAAAACAAGCAACTACCTCAAAGAACACCTTGAAGCCAGAATGAACAGCTCTGATTTAAACATCACTGCTATCAACGGAAGAAGTCTGCATGTGAATGAACTTATATTGATCATTGTTCCATTTTCAATTTTGGTAGCATTTGTAAATTTCATTGTCACAGTTATCATTGCCACCACACAAAGATTATGGAAAAAGCATAATATTTTTATATTTTCTTTAGCGATGACTGATGTTCTGGCAAATAGCTTTTTAGCTATTCATTTCATTTTGAATTACCATACTTCAGATCCAACCCAGATACACACAAGGGTGAGCTTCTTCACCGTTTACTGCACTTTAGCAAACACCTCTGTACTGACATTAGCTGCTGTTGCTGTGGACTGTTCAATTGCTCTTGTCTGGGCACCTTTTAACTATGACATCATTGTCACAGCCAGACGTTGCCTTGTTGTCTGCATTCTACTTTGGATTTTCCCTGTCATGTGCTTCGGTATTGTTAGTCCTGACAAAATGGGTTTTATATTTTCAACCTGTTTTTTCACATCAATGATTACAACAATCCTTCTTTATTCAAAAATCTACTGGAGTTTGTACCAACAGAACTCAGCTGTTATTCAACAGAATTCAGAGGAACTCAAACGATCTAAGAAACTTCTGAAAACATTCTTGATCATTATTGGAGCCTTTGTCATCTGCTGGTCACCAATGGCAACATACTGTACCTTAATTTTTATATCCTTATTGGACACAATAACGATGTTGTGTTAAACACTTTCCTTATACTTGGAATCATAAATTCAATGGCCAATCCTATGATTTATTGGTGGAGACTGAAAGATTTTCGTTCAACTCTTTTCCAACATTTTGGAACTTGTTGTGAAAGATGCGGACACATATTTGTAGCAATAAACACTGTTATGCCTGAGGCATAATCATGCACTTGTATAATAAACTGTATGTAGCAAGGAGCTATGTTAAAGCCTGCTATATATTTGTAGCATACCTCTAAGCTAGTGAGTTGTTAGAGCATATGCTTTGCCATATTTATTCGAATACACGCACCACAGTGTTTATTAATGAAGGGTTTTCCAGGGGGAATCTGTTCGAGAGAGGTGATTATTCAATGGAGGCATTTCTTTTTTGGCATAAAATTATACTCAAACGTACACCCATTAACTTTACTGTAAAGTGTAGAACTACAATACATAATTACAAATTATAATGTGTTATTGCATGATGTTAAATAAAGACATATTATCCTAACCAGGATAGAAAAAAAATTAATTCTACTAGGGTAGAACAATAATAGAATGTGTTGGGAATCTTATAAACACAAGATGGCATTCTCCGCGATTTACCCGTAACAAACAGAAGCATCGATTTGGCACAAAAGTAGTCAGTTTTGGGAGAGGGCGTCCTAGTCATTGCCATGGATCTGAAATAGGGCGTTCGATTTCCACAAAAGTTCGTTAAATTTGTTCCTTGTGTTCCATAGAGAGGGCGCATTGTAAATCGAACGCTTCTAATTGTTACGCGTAAACGTAAAGTTTTGCGGCGTACGCTATGGTCAGAGCGGTCAAGGTTCAAAAGTTTCCAATTTAGCACGAGGGCGCCGTTCATGCATTATTACAGAATTTGCATGCGTAAATCGCGGAGAACGATATCTTGTGTTTATAAGATCTTTGGTACTGTTCAACAGCACTTGGGACATCTATTCGAGGAAAAAAAAGTCCCTGGGCGTTCATTCCAGTGAAGCATCTACTCCATATGTGGTACTGGATGGGCGGGGGAGGGGGGGCGTTTATTTGAGGGTGACATTTATTCAAAGCAAGGCATCAAATAATACAAGACATGTGACAAGCAGCTGGCTAAAGTACAAACAAATATTGTGAAAATTCGAGTGCATATATGAATTTGACTTTTAGTCAGGATTCCATGTGGAAAGGAAAATTCTTTGAGAATTTGTCAAGGATATCACAGGTGTGTGACATTGCAGCTACCGGTAAATGTGTAAAGAGTAGCATTGGCGTGCAAGAATATTGCTGTGCTTATCATAAAATCAAAGAGGTTTGGGTCGGGTCACCATTAGTACAAAATAGCTGAATGTTCAAGAAACTCTGCCATTGTGTGCATAAGATGGGAAAATCTAGATTACTAGCATGAGCCCTAGTTGTGCAAATTTGATAAAATCCTGGAGTTTCCTGGAGATGGAGATGAATTAAAAATCCTAGAGACTCTAGAGCAACATTTACACTTGGGAACCCTGGTTAGTGAGCAATGAAATGTTAATGCAATAACGAGGAATAAACAGTATTAATTTCTTGTAGCAGTAAATATAATAAAGTATCATAAACCTTGAATTGAAGCCCATTGGCTTAATTTCGAGAGGAAGCCCATCTCGATTTGAAGCCCCCTCTTCAATTTGCAAAATTAGCCTCGAAAAGAAGCCCATCTAAAAAAAAAACCCATGGGTTTTGTTTCAAGATAGCATAGGCTTCTTTTTGAGAAAGTACAGTACATACACTGTACATGAATTTCAGAAAACAAAATAAATTAAATACAAGCTTGGTTTATACAGTAGTTTAGGTGATTTAATGTCAGTTAAATACATTATAAGCCATGATACAGATTGATGTTACAGTGGCCTTATTTATTGTTTGTATAGTACAAATTCACAAAATTTACAGCATTCCTTTTGAAAAGGAGCCCCACCCCCACTCTTTGCTTTGCAGAAGTAGTCTCGAAAAGAAGCTCATCTCGAAATAAATCCCACATCGAGAAGACGCCCATCTGAATTCACAAAAAAAAAGGAGCTCAGGGGCGGATTGCTATAAGCTGTCTTTAGACGGTCTTAATGGTTAGCCGGCAATAATCGTGATGTCACTACTGGTCTATAATTATAGACCATGGCTATACCGTAGTCTAACAAGTCTTAAATTTCAAAATTAAAGCCTACTCGGAGGAGGCTTAAAATGGTCTTAAATAATTTTCATCATGGTGTTCTGCTGATTAATTCAAGAGTGCAATGGCCTAGATCGTCAAAGTCAGAGAACTGAACGACGAATACTCCGCAATCTTCTCAGCGTCTTTAAAAATATGTCTACAGCGTTTATTTACGTTCATTTTGATACATTTGCATGACGTCGCCTTCAATCTTACGTTACCAGGGAGTGCTTGTTTGGATTTCAATACTCAAAGCGGTCTTAGGGAAGACTGTTTTATAGCAATGGTCTTAGAGGAATGACTTTAGTAAGACCATCTAAGTGACAAAGCCAGCTTTATTCGAGGAGTTAAGATTACCAGTTAAGACCGTTTTATAGCAATCTGCCACAGAGACCTTTCCGGAGTGACTGATCAGAACAACGCTAGGAATATGAGCACGTCTCACAAACACACGTGTTGTCCTACAAACGCGCATGTTTGCATATGTTTTAACACTCATCTTGTGGGACCGTAGCAACAATATCCAAGGGGCGGAGCTTAGAGGAAAGGTCCATATAAGGTTTTACGGTACAGTAACTTTTGAAAAATTCACTTTTAAATATGTAGGATAGCAACTGAACGAAAAAGTCAATAAAGTTATAAATGAAATCTTTCTATAAAAAAACTTAGAAGATTAGAAAAAAAATGACGACAAATTGTTGTCATACATATAGAAATGTTAAGTAGGAAACTGGAGACACTAAAGAGCTCTTGGACTCTAATACAAATTTTTCAGATCCTGCCTTTAACCATTAATGAAATTCCATGATGTTTATCAGCTTTGATCTTCCAGGTGCATTATTTTTTAACCCAATCTTTCACTGAGATCATCATCTTGTTGTGAGAACAGGTTTCTACATAACCATTATCACAAGAAGATAAGAAATAATTATGCGAATTATGACTAGCAGAGGTCCCAAGTAGGTGAAGTGAAATTTCTGGGTAATTTGTCATTTATTGAAGTGATCGTTTATAAGTGCAAACAATAAGCAAAATGAGTCCGTTTCAGGTTTTATTGAACAAAGCAATAGGTTGTTTAATAGTAATCTAATTATTTGGAAGAGAAAAATGTTGTTTAATTTTGGAAAATATACATTTAGAAGCCATTTTAAAATTCACAATGAAAATTCAGTATTTTCTAGGAATAACTGTAAAAATTATGGGAAGCAGGGATCCTCAATAAAAATCTGGGAAACCCGCAAATTTCTGGGAACTTGGAAGGTCTGAATTAATGAGGCATTTTGGAGCATATAAGTCACCAACCATTACCATTACCATATTACACAATCTTTAACGAAAATGAGTTCTGTGAAATTTTTAAAAATATCTGTAAATCACAAACTGGTTGTAAATAACTGTAGACAAAGACCCAGAACATCTCCCATGAATGACAAACACGTAACCGCTGGACCATGTTGCGTTGTTTTTCCATCATTCATTATCAACACCATTACTGCCGTCATTAGCATCATCAACATCAAAGTTTTGGTAACAAGAACAAGAACAGCAGTAAGGCTTTCGGGTCAGCGTCTTACGCGGACTCAATAAAAGAGTGAGGTCTGGATGTTATCAGGGCAGCCCAAGCAAAGAAATATATAAAAGGCCTTTTAATAAAGAAACTATAAAGTAGCAAAGAAGAGCCAAACCAGTCACTCCTCACAAATTGAGTTTCAGAGATAATGGTCAAAACATGCTGAAATGTCAGCATTTTTAATCATATCTATACATCATATGTTACTTTCCACATTTTCAACATTATCACAACAATTTTTAACAATTTGGTGATGCTTTTTGCCTGAGAAATGCCCAAAATTATAAACTTTGAAGGCTGATTTCTCAAATATAAATGTCGGATTGAAATGATTCCTTTACCATTTTATAGCTCTCATTTCACCTTTAATCCTGTATTAATAATAAAAATCAAGTTTTGCAATAAGTGACTGGTTTGGTTTGTCTATGCTACATTTGCAGTAGCAGACTCAAGGAGGCCCAGTTGTCCCCTCCCCTCCTGACTACCGTCGTTAGGAAGGCATTACATCAATATGAATACCCAGATTGGTATTTTAAAAGGTACTAAACAACAGAAAGAACAAGAAACAAACACATCCTGAGAATACTCAGCACAAAGAATAAAATGAGATACATTATGGGCATACGGATTATAAGAACGCATATAAGGAAAACCATGCATGGTCACAAAGTCAATGTTTTTTATACCACACAACAAAATCAGAGCTCATTTAGTAAATCTGAGGATGCTTGTGTTATAGTGTACCCAGTTTGAATTGTCGCAGCATCTATGTCTATATCAGTAAAATACGGAGACCACTCAAAACCAGAGTTAAAGAACACAAGAAGGATGTTGAAGCGAATAAAATAGGAAAAAAACCATACATAAAAAATAAATCACAAGTCTGCAATCAAAGACCATGCATCACAACTTAACAATAAAACAGAATGGAATGTCAAAGTGGTAAAAAAAGAACAACTTCTAGAAAAAATACAAATTAAGGAACCACCCAAATATGCAAGATCAGGGACGCGATGAACAAAGATCAAAGCGGCTTTGAACTTCCAAACATTTTTGATATCATCCTTGGCAGCACCTCACACAGCAGGTCTGGCGAAAACATCGACAAGATGCCGACGTCCAGTATATAGTCCCTGTTCAAGTTGGATACGTTACTGGAGATTGTGAATTGCTAATCCAAGAAACTTCAATAAGTTTCATCTACTTTTGTTGAAAATTTGTATATATTATTATTAATAATATATGAGGGTAATTTGTCAAAAATCAAAGAATTTCTGGAAGATGAATAAAAATAGAAAATATCATGCTTGGCAGTTAGGCATGGGATGAAATTAAGAAGACTGCATAGATCTGATTTCTGAAATTCGAGGCAATAAATTACACAATAGAAAAGCTATTATACAATTGGTTTCATTATCATTATGAATAAATTTAGCTGCATATGTTTGAACACTTTCAGTGATTTGTAAATTATGTTTAGATGACGGACTCCATACAGGTGAGCAGTAATCTTATATGCTTCGAAAGAGAGGAATGTAAAAGAAGATGTTTGATATGTATTGCACAGAAAACATATTCTGCATATAAGACCCAATATTGGCTTTTGCCTTGGTTAGCCGACCATGTCTGTTCCACGACAAAGTAGTATCAAGTGTGAAACTTAGGTTTTTAATAAAACTCTTTTTAGACTACTGTTGGCAAGAGAATAATTGCACACAATGGGAAATCATGATCTAGATGTAGGGGGTAAAAATGACAATCTTAAGGTACAGTACATTTCCTGAAAACATGAATCAACCAATACTTAGGCTACGGACCTTGGATAAGGTTCACATCCAATGGACAAGAAATTATAGTCTTGTAAAAGGGAATATCATCACCTAGCTACGTCACTCTTTTGGGTTATCATTTTAATGAAGGTTAATTGCTTTCCATTACAGTGCCACTTGATGAAAAGGTAATTAGAAAAGGCACAATTAATATTGTCCAAATGAAAAATTCAGCAATTCACCATCAATCAATCCACTTAGTAAGTTAATACGCTTTAAAAATGCTGCATAGACCATCAGCTAGTGAATAATTGGCTATTAATGCACATTAAACAAACATTTATATTCCAATATTTTCATATAAAGCAACCACAACATTTAGAAAAATGATCACTGAGTAAAGTTTTGGTAGAGATACAGCATACTATAGAGGCATTCTTCCAGCATCAACTATATAAACCTGCAGGTAAGTTGAACAGATTCACTTCAGAAAACTCTTCTAACAAAATTCTCGACACATTGAATTAAAACTAGAAAACACATTGTAATACTTTTTATTATTTTGTTAGTTCTGAAAGCATATTATTTAACTAAGATAGAAATTTAGGCATGACCAAACTTTTCATTTGCTATTTACTTTTAATATTTATCTTTATAGCATTTACACACGTCTCTAATTGTTTGAGATTAATAATGTAGTTTTTTTTTACCACTACTGTAATAGTGCATGTCGCTTGAATGGCGCGATCGGTTAATGATGTGTTCTAAGAACTTACGGGCGTGAGTTTGAAATGTGTCTTGGTATTCAATTTTTCCCCCCAATTTATTTATTTTTTTAATTTTATACAAAAAATTATTCTTAATTTTTTTTTTTGTACAAATAAACATTCTATTTAAAATTTTTATATTAGCTCTTCCAAAAACCCAATATAATAACTTGCGCCTGTCCCGTATATAAGCATTGAGGTACGCGCGGGTGTTTACATTCTAAACTCAATTAAATTATGATTATTATTTCCAAACAAATCTTGCACAGGTTATTTTACTTCTAAAAAGAGGTCTTTTTACATTCGGTAATTTTATCACTTGGGACTTCATAAAGGTCAGTTTTGAATAAGAGGGGTGTCAGAAGAGGGTGAGCTTAGGTGTAGAGAGATAGGTGAGAGTTGGTACTAATTGGTCTAGAATTAGAGGGGCTTTTTTTTAACATTCATTTTAAAGACATTATAGACCAGGAGCCCAGGGGTGTCAGCATAGCTGGAAAGTTAACCAATTTCTGTGAAAATAGTAATGTTCTATGTGCCTGTCTATGTAGGAGAATGGGCATCTGCCGGTCCCATTGTGGTGGGTGTGGTCAGGAGAGGCATAAAAAGGGCCCCAAAAATTGAGCTAGATCAACTTGTGAATTAACCGAATGAAACCTATCAGAATATATTCGGCATATTTCAAGATGACATGAATGGTCAATGCCAGACATTTCCAGTGGTGGGGGGTGCATGCCAGACGCAAAAAACCGTTACCCCAAAATTAAGCTAGATCAGCTTGCGAGTTAACCCGATGAAACCTACTGGAAAATGTTGGGCATAGTACCAGGTATCAGGAATGGTCCCCGCCAGACATTTTTAATGGTGGGGTATACCTGCCAGACACCCCCAAATACCCCGCCCAAAAAATTGACCTAGATCAGCTTGTGAGTTAACCCGATAAAACCTACTAGAAAATGTTCGGCATAGTACCAGGT